TGGGAGTCACCAGTGTCGTATCGAGCGGGATCGGGATCGTGGCCGTCGGATGATGGAGTACCAAGAGCACCTGTTCCAGTCCTGCCACCCGCCACAAGAGCACCACTGGACTACCCGGTGGGACCACTCACCACCCCCGCCACCACCGACAGATGGGGTTGACGACCTCATGGACCAGATCGACTTCATTGGGCTCGAGTAGGCTGTACTCGTTGCTCGTTTTGTGTTGATTATGTTTTGGTTAGGAGTGCAAAATGTCTGTTGTTTTGGTTTATTTTCTCTTCTTTTGGATGATGTACTATTGGGCTGACAACTGGACCTAACATATTGTGGGTGAGTTCTTGTGTTCCCTTTAGCTGTGCCTTTGCACCGACTGGTCCCATTTCCAGTCCTTTTCACTCCGACTGGTCCACCTTCCAGTCCCACTGCAGTCTGCTTTTGGCAGTAACATCGTTCCTCTTATCCTTCCCTCTTCTCCATTGAGGGCAATGTCAAACTTAAGTGTGGGGGGATCTTTCTATTTTGACTGCTTAGATCTGTTTGTGTGCTTGGAGCCTAGTCCACTGTCCAAATTTCGATTTGAGGGCTCCAAGTACGTTTTCCTTGCAAATTGCCTGCTCAGTATGCTTTGAATTGACAGTCTCTATAGTAATGTGCAACCTAGGGAGGTAGTGTAGAGCTATGGAGGATGTTGAAGTATAAGATTTTCCCTATCTAGCTCTCTACTATGCCGGTTGATTTTGTGAATTAGTGGAGTTAAGACCGTTGAATTCATGTGGTAATGGTGACTCCTTTTTGATTGTGTTATGGACTCGTGTATCGAACAGGGTGCTCATGTGGGAAATGAAAAGCAGCTGGTTGATAGACCGTTAATTACACATGTTTTCACCCCTGTTCTTACACCGTTTGAGATGTGGTTTCTCGTGTTTTGGACCGATTTCACGCTAGGTTGTGCTTGTTTGTGATATTTCAGGTCCTGACAAGTGAATGAAGGTTTAGGAGCGAGTTCGGGGTCGATTGGGCGAAGATCGGGGGCGAGGCAAGTCACAAAGGAAGCCACACGGGCACACCCACAACCCACACGGCCGTGCAAGTGACCAGTTTGGCCGTGTGGGATTGTGCGAGACCTCACACGGGCATAGATAATTTCCACACTGCCATGTGAAGTTGCACTTTGGCCGTGTGGAATTGTGCGAGGCTTCACACGGCCAGGCTGGGTGAGCTACACGGCCGTGTGACCCTGGCTGTGTAAGAAGCCTGGAATTCAACTAATCGATACGCAGCGTTTGGAGGCACACGGGCAACTGGGTGGGCCACACGGCCGTGTGGCCTGCCCGTGTGAGTCGGGATTTTCTGGTTTTAAGCCAATTTCCAGCCACAAGTCGGGGGGTTCGAGTTTTAGAGAGACAGAGCGATTCCTAGAGAGAGAAAGCGACGAACAAGAGTCTCCAAGTGCCCTAGCTTGATCTTCATCACCATTGGAGCTTGGCTTGAGCTTGGAGGAGTGCCAATCAACGCCCAGGAGCAGGTCCTTCACAGTATGAATTCCGCGTCTGATTCTGCTTTTGCTTCTTTCTCCATGGAGTAGTTCTCCCATTCATCTGGGTATGGAGAACCCTAGATTTGTATGTTAGGTTTGATTGTATGAACCCAAGTACTGATTCTATGATTTGATTATATTCGATTGAGGTTTGAATGATTGAATGACTCGAATCCTGATCAAATTCCAGTTGTTTCTGCTTTAACCTAGAATGAGAATATCTGCCTAGGTTGATAGAGCATCCTTGATTGAAGGTAGGGAGTTGGTGACTTTAGTCGAGGATCCAACTCACTATTCTGTACCGGATTCACTCCGGTAGTGGAGGTTTTGTTTGTTAAGGCCTCAATCTGTTTACTCCGGTGGAGGTTAGTCGCCCGCTAGAGACTCAGATTGAGAGGGTCTGAAGACCTTTAGTCGAGATTTCAGGCTGTGTGAGAACCTTCCGCAGTATAACTATCATAGAAACTGAACTTGGTAATTGCAATCTGGCTTAACTGCAGTCTAGGGGGAACCATATCCAGGTGACCTCTCTTAACCTGAATACAACCGTTTACTTTCTTTATTAGTTTGTTAGTTTAGACTTGCATTAAAGTTTCATTGATAGATAACAAGAATTCACCGAGTAGTCATCAAATCTAGGACCCGGGTTGACATTTAAACCCAAACCCGCTATACTACGCTTTAGGAAGTGGTTTCACTTGGCCAATTCCTAGAGTGACAGTAGAAGTGAGTCACTGGTCCTCCATGTCGAAATCATTGAAATCTAAAACATGGGGTAAGCCCAACGTGTGTGGGACCGTTCATTCCACAAAATCGGGTTTTGGAAGAGATTTTAGTGATCCTTAGTGGGGTACTCCTATAAGGTGAAGCTAAGCTGTCTCTAGTACAAGTAAAATTTTCACTCGTTGAACGGTTTGCCTACTCTAGAATGTGTTTTTAAGGGCACGGATAGAGCATCCGACCCCCATTAATTTCATTGACCCTCCACACGAGTTGAGGAAAAGGAGTTAAAAGAAGTACTCTGGCGAGTGCCAGGTGTACAAAAATTGCTCTTGCTCGACCAATAAGGGTCGACCATACAAAAGATTGCAGTTGGAACCCCCGCCAAGTGAAAAAAAAGAAATGAAATGTAAAATGATAGTGAAAGAGGGGTTCCAACGGTGAAATGAAGTGAAAGAGCACCCCAGTACAATGGGTCCTTGGTTATGAATGGTGTGAGTCCCTTGGTTGTGAATGGTGTGAGACAGAGTGATTCGGGCCCAAATGTACACATTTTACCCCTCATTTCTTATTCATTTAGCTTAGCATCGTTCCTCGACATATTTCACGCTAGGTGATAGACCAATAATTAAACATGTTTATTCCTCCATTCTTGAGCTGTTTGAGAGTCGATTCTCATGTTTTAAGCCAATTTCACGCTAGGTTGTGTGTTTATGTCATATTTCAGGACTTGGCGTTGACGTGAAGGCTAGGAAACGAGTTTCAGGTCAAAAGGAGGATGTTGGAGTATAAGGGAGCTGGAGGTGCAAAATACCCGACCATGAGTAAAAATACCCGGCCGGGTAAAATGCTAAGGAGACCAGGGATTCGTGCTTTTGGACACCAAGAAGGCAGAAGGGGTCCCGGCTAGAGAGAAAAAAATACTCGATCGGGTATTCTGGACCACGATCGGGCCCCTTGTTGCTGCGCTGCATTTCAAAATCCCCGTTCGGGCACCTGAAATACCCGACCGGGGATCGCGAACAGCTGGGTTTTAAGGGAAAGAAGGCCAATTTTGAAAGGATTCCGAGCTTTAGAGAGAAAAGCTAATACCTAGAGAGAGAAAGTGACGAACCTGATTCTCCAAGTGCCCTAGATCGATCTTCATCACCATTGGAGCCCAACTTGAGCTTAGAGAAGTGCTGACTGATTGCTAGAAGCAGAATCCAATCCTTCACAGTATGGTTTCCGCGTGTGAGCTAGATTTCCCGTCTCTCTATGGAGTAACTTTCTCATTCACCTAGGTATGAAGAACCCTAGATTTGTATGTTAGGTCTGATTGTATGAACCCAAGTACGAAGTATGTTAGGTCTGATTGTATGAACCCAAGTACGAATTCAGTGATATGATTATATTCAATTGAGGTTTGATTTCTTGAATGGCATGAATCTTGATCGAATTCCTATTATTTCTGCTTTGACCTAGAAAGAGAATATCTGCCTAGGTTGTTAGAGCACCCTTGATTGAAGGTAGTGAATTGAAGACTTTAGTCGAGGAGTCAATTCACTATTCTGTACTGGATTTACTTCGGTAGAGGAGGTTTGGTTCATTAGTCCTCAATCTGTTTACTTAGGTGGAGGTTAGTCGCCTGCTGGGGATTCAGATTGAGAGGGTCTGGAGACCTTTAGTTGAGACTGCAGACTGTTTAAGAACCTCACGCAGCATAACTATCATTGAACTTGAACTTGGTGAATTACAACCTGGATTAACTGCAGTCTAGGGGGAACCATATTCGGGTGACCTCTCTCAACTTGAACACAACTTTCACTGCTTTGCTTGCTAGTTTAATTGAACCTTCACTACACTTGAACCGCTAGATAACAAGACTTTCATGGAGTAGTCATCACTCCTAGGAACCGGGTTGACAATGAGAACTAAACCCGCTATACTATGCATTAGTAGGTGGTACAATTGGACACTTTCAAGTGTGACGGTAGAAGCGTGTCACTAGGTTGTGCTTGTTTTGATACATTTCAGGTCCTAGCACGTGTGGAAGGGTCGAGGAGGAGTTTTGGGATATTTGGAGGTCAAAAAGCGCAAAAACCGAAGAAAAGTCCAAAGTCATAACAGTGAAGGCATCCCAAGAAATCGTCGCAATTCTTGGCCGGACGAGGCAGTTCACGGTCTCCTAAGACCGTGAACTTCGACCACAAACTGTGAATACCGAGGCGTCCAGCGAGGTACCTGAAGTTACTGACGACAAGGCAGTTCATGGTCTCTAAGACCATGAACTGTGGCCATTGACCGTGAACCCAGGACATTGAAGCGGTGCATTTTGGACGATACTGAGTTCACGAACGCATTTAGGTGTTCACGGCCATGAACTGGCCAATGCGTCCATGAACTGATCACTCTCGGGCAAATATGATGACAGCTGCGGGGAGAGAGAAGGAGAGAGCTGGTTTTTGGAGAAGAAACACTTTCTCTCTCTAGGGTTTCAACCTAAACACCAAAGGGGAGTTCTATTGAGAGAGAGAGAGAGAGTGCTAGAGGGATCTTGGAGCATCATTTGAGGCTTGGGTGGAAGATTCAAGCCTAGAAGAAGAAGAAGAAGAAGATGATCTTGAGCTCAAATTTGTAATCCCTCTCTCTCTCTCTCTAGAAACTCACTCTTTTCTATTGGGTGTTGTAGATCCATAACTAGTACTTTGTAATTACTTGTTTAAAATGAATGATTGTCATTGGGTATTGCTTAATTCAATGATTGAGGTATTATTTATCACGATTGTGCATGCTTGTGCTTAGCAACCTAAGAGTTGTGCATGTTTTGTGCTTAGCATCCTTAGGTTTGTTCATTTTGGTGCTTAGCAACCTAAGGATTGTGGATAATTGTGCTTAACACTCTTAGTTTTGTGCATGTTGGTGCTAGCAATCTAATTAGCCACCTTAACCTCGCTAATAGAGGAAAATCCACCTTCCAAGGGAGACTCAATCGAGTTGGTTTTCCTTCCGCTTTTTAAGCAACCTAACTAGGTTAATTTAGGGAAACCCTCAAAGTTGAATTAAGCAAATCGGTTAATCATGATTAAGTCGTCCAACCTTTGAGTTGAGTGAGGGAGAAAATCAATTACCGATTGCCTAAACCGAGAGGGTCGAGTAACACAGCCTTTAATGCTTACCTCGGTTTAGCAATTGAGAGTGTGGTCTACGACCATATATGCATCCCTCTGCGGTTCGCGGTTACCTAGCTCATAGCAATCGTTTCAATCCAATGAGTCATGGTAGCTAGTTAGGGGGAAGCAACTCCCGGGCGAAGCTCCCTTAGTTAGGATTTTCCTTTATTTACTTTTCTTTGCTTGTTTAGTTTGTAGTTACATTAGACCTAACCCCTAAATTTGCTTGCTAGATAACAACCTAAGTGATTGAAGTAGGGGTACATGGACCGGCCCGGGTCGATATTTAAATACCTCCTCCATACTACACCCGGCTAGAGTTTAAAAACTTGGAATCTAGTCGGGATTAATTTGTGGTGTAGTTTCGTGCGAGTCAAGTTTTTGGCGACGTTGCCGGGGAACTGCGGTCCATTATTTTGAAAAGGTCGCTTAGTGCTAATCTAGCATTTTCTATCTTGCCTTTTTGTTTGTGTTTTATGTTTTGTGTTGTGTTTTGTTTACCCACTCTTCGTCTTGAAGGGTGGTTTGTGTTTATTTGATTTTGTTTTTGTGTTTTGTTTGTGTAGGTTATGAATCATGGATCCCAATGGCTTCTACAATAGGTGGGGGTATCCAAAACCACCCGAATGGGGGTACACCGGAGCTTCATGGAGTGAACAAGAAGGGGGAAGCCAAGGATCCGGGTTCTATTACCAACCCCCTTCCATGAAGAACAACCATACCATTGGGGGTATGAAGAGGCTTCCCCATATCAAGAAGCTTCGTCGACGCACGGAGAGGCTACGAGGGCTTGTAGAGCAAGCATGAGCACAACTTTCTCAAAATCGCCTCCCACCATTGGAAGAAAGAGAGGAAGTCGACGAGACGAGCCATGATAATTTTGGAAGAACGAGCTTCGGCATGGATTTCCAACCCCTCCCTCCTCCCGGTTTGACACTAGAAGAGAAAGTGGCACAAGCTTGTAAAAGCTATCGCCTCTCATTATTGAAGGAGAAATGGGAGGTTGAAGGGGCGCTCAATGACAACCGTGTGGAGCAATAAAAACTCACCCCGGAGAGCTCTCGTGGTGAGGGTGAACAAGAAGGTTGCATTGACATCTCCCATCACTTTCCCCTTCCTGAAAGCAACATTGAAGACCAAGACACGAGTGTGGAGGAGCAAGAGAATCCCTTCTATGACCTTTGGCATTTTGCCCTCAAACTCGTGCTTGGAGACATGATTGGGATGGAGAAAGAAGAGGTTAAAGAGGAGGAAGAAAACATTGAAGAGGGGGAAGATCTTGAATGTTCCCAAGGGGAGGAACAAAGTGAAGAAGGAAGGGTGGTTGAAGAAGAATTTGAAGGGGCAAGTGGAGTCCAAAACGAGGACAAGGTCGAGGTGGATGAAGCATCCACAAGTTACGAGGGCTATGAAAGCTTTCCACCCGACCTCGAGGCGCTTCTTGAGAACGACCCATTTGCGGCTCTTTGCCAAGCCAAGGCGAAACCATCGACGATCCCTCTTGGTGGATGCGATGGTGGTAAAACGATGGCGCATTAAATGGTGTGTGGCAAAGAGAAAGAAGGATAAGGAAAGAAGAAGAGGTCTTGTGTAGGGAGCCTGAAAGTCACTCAAGTTCACGAGCCCTCAATCATGGACTCGTACAAAGCTCGTGACTTGAGACACCACCTCACCGACGAGAACCTCAAATTCAAGGAGGTTCTTGGGTGGACTGAAACTTGAGGAGAAACCATCCGGCTCACGACGTTAAAGAAGCGCTTGGTGGGAGGCAACCCATCTACCATCGGTTTGTTTTCTTTCCGCGCCAATAAAAAGACCACTAAAGAGATTTTGGTGGTGTTTTGGATGAGACCACACTCTTCCAGAGCTCACCCGCCCTCCGCTCCCGAGCACAAACATTCACAACTTGACCGGTAACATCGTTCTATCCCCTTCTTTTATGCCATTGAGGACAATGTCGATCTTAAGTGTGTGTGTGTGGGGGGGGGGGGGGGTAATCCATTATGCATGTGTGTGTGAATGTTTGGTGTGATTTTGAATGCTTGGAGCCTAGTTGTATGTTCAAAATTTGAAGGCTCCTAGCATAACAACTTCTACATTTGCATGATCATAGTGGCATCTTGTGGTGATTTGCTTTAAATCTTGTGGTTATTAGCATGTTCTATGGATGATTTGCTTGTGATTGTGTGCAACCTATTAGGATGAACGAGATATGTATTAGGTTTGTGCATAGGTTCATTTCTCATGTGTTTGTGAACCGATAGATGTTTGAATCAATTACTTGCTTTTCACAGTTGCCTATGCATCGGGTTTAAGGAGTTAGAACGAATGATTGAGCACCTAGGTAGCCATGTGAGACTTGTGTCGTTCATTTCGTTCTTGTGCGATAGTTCCCCCTTGACATGATGTGTAGCATTCACGTTGTTGCTAGCGAGGAAGATGGAGGCATAGGTTTTAGTCCATGACCCAAATGTTGACCGACCCGATCATATCATCCCTTAGTCAACCCTTTTGAGTCGTGTGTCTAAGGGTCGCTCTCATTTTAGGTAGCTCTCGCTATTTGAGCTTGATTGATTTAGATAGAGCGACCCTACTTTCTTCGTGTCTACACCGTTATCGAGTCACCCTTGTGTTTGGAAGCTCCATTCATACCATTTGAGCTTAAACGAGGTTCCACACGAGTGATTTGTGTATGGTTTTTCTAAGAGGCGAGGTGAGTGTGGAGGTAGTTTTCAAAGTGAGCATTGCTCCTTAAGTTAAAAAATGTGGCATTTTATAGCTCCCTTTAGCCCCCAAAGAAAAGAGAAAAGAAAAAAAAAGAGAACGATAAGAGGGCAAAGAAGAGAAGAGAGTGGCTACCAAAAAGATAATAAATGTTGAACATGCTCTTAGAAGTGTTGCTTAGCATACAAGCTATAAGAACACTTACATGTCCTTGACCTCTACACTCTTGTGCTTAAAATTGATTAGCAAATGTAGCAAGAAAGTATGCATGATATGGTTTGGTGATTGGTTGTGGTTTGGAATAGTGGGAAGTGCGGTTTTTGGCCGATGCTAGTGGTCGTTGTTTGTAGGGAAGGTTCTAGTCGAAACCATAGAACCTTGTGTCTTACGTTGAAGATGTGGAACCTCATGTTTTGTTTGCCACCACCCAAAAAGCCTTTTCCCCGTGTCCTAGACCCTATCCAGTCATTTGAACCTGTGTCTAAGACCTCCGGACAAGCTAGCAACAACATCCATCTTGTGAACTCTAACATTTAGAGGTTATCGTCATGATAAAGGGACGTTAGGATTGAGCGTGAATATGCACATCTTTTGCATCAAATGGTCCTGACCCCATTGGTCGAGAGTGAGTAATTCTTCATCATGTTTTGTTCATTTCTTTTACCCCGGTGAGGACCTAGGTTGCTCGATTGTTCGTTCTTATGATGTCATCTTCATGCATGAGTAACTGTGATTGGTGAGAAGGCAAGGCATGTTGTGTGTTGGTTGATGAATAATGTGAGAACTCTTCTTTTGCACAATCTTAATACGGTTGAATGTCGTTTGTGGTGGTTGCCAAGATTACTTTGTTTTTGTCCATAGGTCGGTGTCAAATAACCATTGTGATTCATTCGTTTTGTTCCCTATGATATGCCTCAAAAAATGTGTTGAAAAAGAAGTTGTAAGCTTACCTTGTATTGTACTTGGTTTGCTTGGGGACAAGCACACGTCTAAGTGTGGGGGAGTGATTCGCGCCCAAATGTACACATTTTACCCTTCATTTATTATTCTTTAGCTTAGTATTTCACGTTCCTCGACATATTTCAAGCTAGGTGTGCTTGTCTTGATACATTTCAGGTACTAGCAGGTGTGGAAGGGTCGAGGACGAGTTTTGGGATATTTGGAGGTCAAAAAGCGCAAAAATCAAAGAAAATTCCAAAGTCGTAATAGTGAAGTGAAGGCGTCCCAGGAAACAGCCGCAGGATGCGGCAATTCACGGTCTCCTAAGACCGTGAACTTCAACCACAAACCGTGAATACCGAGGCTTCTAGCGAGGCTCCTAAAGTTACTGACGACAAGGCAGTTCACAGTCTCTAAGACCGTGAACTGTGGCCATTGACTGTGAACCCAGGATAGTGAAGCAGTGCGTATTGGACGGTGCTGAGTTCACAGACACGTTTAGGTATTCATGACCGTGAACTGGCAAACGCGTCCGTGAACTGATCACTCTTAGGAAAATATGAAGACAACAGCGGGGAGAGAGAAGGAGAGAGCTGGTTTTTGGAGAAGAAACACTTTCTTTCTCTAGGGTTTCAACCTAAACACCAAGGGGGAGTTTTAGTGAGAGAGAGAGAGAGAGAGAGAGAGTGCTAGAGTGATCTTGGAGCATCATTGGAGGCTTGGGTGGAAGATTCAAGCCTAGAAGAAGGAGAAAAAGAAGATGATCTTGAGCTCAAATTTGTAATCCCTCTCTCTCTCTCTCTCTCTCTCTCTCTCTCTCTCTAGAAACTCACTCTTTTCTCTTGGGTGTTGTAGATCCCTAACTAATACTTTGTAATTACTTGTTTAGATTGAATGATTGTCATTGGGTATTGCTTAATTCAATGATTGAGGTATTATTCATCATGATTGTGCATGCTTGTGCATGCTTGTGCTTAGCAACCTAGGAGTTGTGCATGTTTTGTGCTTAGCATCCTTAGGTTTGTGCATTTTGGTGCTTAGCAACCTAAGGATTGTGCATAATTGTGCTTCGCACCCTTAGGTTTGTGCATGTTGGTGCTAGCAATCTAATTAGTCACCTTAACCTAGCTTAGAGAGGAAAATCCACCTTCCAAGGAAGACCCAATCGAGTTGGTTTTCCTTCCGCTTTTTAAGCCACCTAACTAGATTAATTTAGGGCAACCGTCAAAGTTGAAATAAGCAAATTGGTTAATCGTGATTAAGCCGTCTGACCTTTGAGTTGAGTGATGGAGTAAATCAACTACCGATTGCCTAAACCGAGAGGGTCGAGTGACTCGGCCTTTAATGCTTACCTCAGTTTAGCAATTGAGATTGTGGTCTAGGACCATATATGCATCCCTCTGCGGTTCGCGGTTACCTGGCCCATAGCAATCGTTTCAATCCAACGAGTCACAGTAGCTTGTTAGGGGGAAGCAACTTCCGGGTGAAGCTCCCTTAGTTAGAATTTTCCTTTATTTACTTTTCTTTGCTTGTTTAATTTGTAGTTCCATTAGACCTAAACCCTAAAGTTGTATGCTAGATAACAACCTAAGTGATTGAAGTAGGGGTACATGGACCGGCCCGGGTTGATATTTAAATAGTTGCTCTATACTGCACCCGGCTAGAGTTTAAAAACTTGGACTCTAGTCGGGATTAATTTGCGGTGTAGTTTCATGCGAGTCACCGAGCTTCTTGTTGTAAAGCATCTCCACGGGGAATGACTCGGCTCGACAGATGGTGGAGCATCCCGTTAGATCAACCCCGAAGTGTTAGGCCTGCCTCGTGATGAATCCCTCCAAGTGCATCATATCCGCTCGATCATGCCCCAGGCATCTAGCGAATGTGGTGGCCACCAGTGATCCCATATGGTGTGGCTCTGCTGGACGGCTCAGGGTATGGAGGGCTATCAACCCTCTGTTGGTGATCATGTGCCCCGATCGCAGGCTAGGGATGATCGAATTCATGAGCAGTGTGTGCAGGATCCTCAATGGCATCCGGAGCTTGACTGCATTGGTGTTTGAGCCCTTGAACTCTATGTTCTGGTGCGTCGGAAGGCACATGGTGTGGAAGGCCTAGTCGTAGCGGAAGTTAGCTGTCTATTGCCTCTCCGTCATGGTCATGTGTGTGGGGTGGAGCCTCATGGCCTGGGTGAACCTATCATAGGTCAGGACATGATGATGACCTCCCAGCATAAACTCCACATACGGCCCTTTGCGCTTGCTCGACGGGATCACATGGGATAAGGTGGAGTAGAACTCCACACAGAGCTCGCGGTAGATGAGCTCGTTAACCGCATGAGGTGTCGCTACTGGGGATGAAAGAGAACCCCAGACATCGCTGTCCAGCACCTGAACATGGTGAACATGGTGAACATTTCCAAGTCCAACACTAGTGAGGTCCTGCCTCACTGTACCGCCATTGCTTGAATATGGTGTCGTATTTCTCATGCTTCACCAAGTGATGAATGTACTCATGACTTGCATCAATCATCCTGCAAAACATCAAAGACATGCTCCATACGTGGAAACATTCATCAATCTCAAATCATTGGGCAGAAAATCCCCCCCCCCCCCCCCCCCCCCCCCCCACTTAAGATTCCACTGAGGTCCTATGCCTTTGAAGGCTTTTCACAAGATTAGATTTCAAACAATTTAAGGACAACCACGAACAAAGCTCATCAAGACATGGTTCTAGGTGATTCAGGGTTCTTCCAAATAAAAATATTGAACCCAAACCATACTTTGATGGCTGCCAACCATCATTCACACAAGTGTATCATGTCATTTTTTAGAATACTGCACTTGGTGGGAATTCTCAATTCAAACCACAAAATCATGCCAAATTTTTCCCACAAAGGCTCAATTAACTTAACAAACACTTCATGCAACATTCAATCAACCTAATTCGACATTCCCCTCGCCCAATTTCATCATGCACGCAAAATTTTCCCAATTCTCCTCACCGAAGAACTCTAACCCAATTCTCCAAAAATGACAAAGGAAAGGTTTGAAACAGACCTGGAGACACAAGTAGGGTCAAAGAGGAAGGTGAGCAGAGGGCGAGGGTGTCGAAAATTGGCCGAAAACAACCTGGTGGAGCTCGTCGGAGTGCCTTCGGAGCCTCACCGAAAATCGTTCACCCCGAAAACATTTCAAGCCAAATTGACTCAAAACTTCGGCAAGTCGATGAAAAACAGCAAGATGGAGCGGTTTTTTGACGATCTTTAGAGAATTTCGGCGAGGTGGGCGGCGTGAAGTGAAGAAGAAGGGTTCACACCCTTATATAACTCGAGCTCGAGGTTCACAGACAAAGGCTTACCGTGAACATAACTCCCTGAACGTGATCTCGGGGAAAACGACGCATTTCACAAAAACTGGAACTTCCCTTGTTCACGGTTTGCATATGACTATCACGATCTCTAAAACCGGGATAATGAGGCTAAAACTATGAACTAAGTGAAAATAAGGCATTTCCAGAATTTCAAAACTCGACCTAATCAATTGTGCCACTAATTCAAACACACTCAAAATCCAATCAATTAGACACAACATGGTGGCACGATGATACCCATTCAACCACTTGAACTCTTCACTCAATCACAAAAAGAGAAAATAAGGAAAAGAAAACAAACCAAAGTTAGGTTGCCTACCAACAAGCGCTAAGTTAATGTCACTAGCTTGACGTTGCAAATCTATCATGCTTAAGAGCACGAAGCCTCCGAGAGTGGATCCATCATAGTCTCGGGGCGAGGTTTGTCACCTCCCAACTTAAGCTCCAAAGGATGGCCCGCTTGGCCATCTGCCTTTGCTTTGCCCTTATCCTTCTTTCGGGCATAAGTGCAATTCATCTTTTCTCTCCACGCTTTCTTCTTCTTTCCTTCGGGTTTGATACCCTCCTCAATTTCCTGTTTCACACCATCACAAGGAATACAAGAAATAGTGGGATTCTCCTTGAGAGGCTTGCCTCCACTTCCAATCATGCCATTCGAGTCCATTTCCTTCACATCATCATTCTTAGCCAGTCGAGTCCATTTCCTTCACATCATCATTCTTAGCCTTAGGATTAATTGAGAGAGTAAGTTTCTCCTTTCCATCTCTCAAAATCAAAGTTCTCTCATTAACATCAATTAAGGCCTTGGCGGTGGCAAGGAAGGGACGTCCTAGAATGAGTGGCAAATCTGCATCTTCACTGATATCAAGGATAACAAAATCCATCGGATAACAGAATTTTCCAACTCTCACTAGGACGTCCTCCACAATACCTCTAGGACTAATTATAGAGCGATCGGCCAATGTGACACTAAGCCCGGTAGTCTTTAGCATCTTGAGCATCTCCATGAACCCGCCACATTCCGCCTTCAATCGGTCCTTGTGCATCCTCGAGGGGAAAGGAAGAGGAGGCTTGTACTCAGCCACTTGTGGTGGCGTCGGCAATGCCTTCTTAGTCTCTTCTTCCTATCCTTCCATGTCTTCTTGCTTGTCAACCATTGGGGGAGTCTTCTCTTCTTCGGTTTCATCTCTTTCAAAAACCTTCTGGGTCACCTTCCCACTTCTCATATGAATAGCATTCAACCCGACATTTTGATCTTTGGGATTGACAATTGTTTGAGAGGGAAGAGCTCCCCTTGGTCTCTCCGTGAGGATTCCGGTAAGGTTGGTGATTTGAGTCTCCAAGTTTTGAAGACTCGCTTGGTGGTTTCTCAATCCTGCCTCAACCAAAGAAAACTTTGTTGTTGCCACATCCATAAATTGCTCAATCTTCTCAAACTTTCGAGTGCTCGTGCTCGCAAAGGTTGTCACTAGGTCTTCAAGCTTTGCAAACTTATCAGGTTGTGGTTGGAACCCTTGACTACCTTGAGCTTGGAACGGTTGTTGGAAGTTCGAGCCTTGAAACTATGGCCTTTGTTGAATGAAGGGAGGCCTTGGTTGATAATTCCTCGTCGGTCCTTGGAAACCGGATGGTCTCAGATTACTTGGGGAAGACCAAGCGAATTTTGGATGGTTCCACCACCCCAGGTTATAAGTGTGGCTATAGGGATTGTTGTTCCTAGCATTAGTGATGAAGCTCACTTGTTCCTCGGGGGTGCTTCCTTCCTTCATCAATTGGCACTCCGAAATCTCATGGTTGGTACTCGAATACCAATCACACGACATCAACGACTTCTTACCTTGCTTCTTATCTTCAAGGAGAGCATCAATCAAATGGTCAATCTTAACGGCAAGCGGAGGACTTGCTTCCGCCGAACCTCCTATCTCTGTATCCATTATACCGCTTCTTATCCAGTCCCAATCGTACCCTTTTGTCGCCAGATCTTCAAGCATTTGGGTCACTTGGGGTGGGGTCATGTTCATCAATTTCCCTTGACATAGAGAGTCAATGAGGATCTTGTCATCTTGGAGGAGACCACCCTAAAAGATCTCAATCCGAAATTGTTCTTTAAATACATGATGTGGGCATTGGAGGACGTAATCAAAATACCTCTCCCATGCATCCCTCAATGTCACATCCTTCTCTTGTTCGAAATGGGTGATCTTCTTGCGCCACTCCGCCATCTTGGAAGGTGGGCAATATCGGGTCATAAACTTGTTGAAAAAGTCTTCTCACGAGGTAATCGAGAGGGGTGGTTTATTGTAGAGCCACCTGAGTGCATTCCCCGTAAGAGAGTAGGAGAATAGCTTCAACTTCAAAGCATCTTTGGACACCCTATTTATCTTCAAACTTCTCGCGATCTCGATAAACCTCTAAACATGCTCCCTCGGAGACGCATCTCTAAGCCCATGGATTTTCACATTGTTTTGACTCATTGTGATGAGGTCGGGTTTGATCTCGAAATTGTTGGCGGCCATGGGAGGATGTAAATGGTAGGTTGAATATCAGCCGCCCGTGGAGCCATGTAGTAGCCCATGGTCCTCGGTTGCTCCGTAAATCCCGCTTGAGCTTCTTGATTAGCTGTCATCTCGACTTCACTTCCTTCCTGTTCGGATTCAAAGTCTTCCTCAATTGAAACTCCTTCAACTTCGAGACCAACTTGTGGTTTTCACCCTCTCCTCTATCCTTCTTTTTGCTTTTGCCAGCTCCCTCTCACAAGTCAAGAGTCGGAGAGTGCGGTTAAGATTCTCATCTAGTGGCACCAAAGGTGTCGGATTACTCCGGGTCATCCACCCTCCTGCGCACACTCAAAATAACCACAAATCGTCTAACACAAGGAGGATTCACACACACAAACGCAAAAAGTAAAGCTAGATTAACACCAAACAAAATAATGGACCGGAAGTTCTGCGGCAACGGCGACATAAACTTGACTCGTCCCGAATATCACAATAAAAATCTCAATTAAGGCCCAAGTATAAACCTTAATCAGGTGCAATATACGGCAAGTATGTTTAAATATCAACCCAGACCAGACCATATACCCCTACTTCGATTATTTGGAACATTATCTAGCAATTGGTTTTTGGTGAAAATAACGAACTATAACTAAAACGTTTGGGAAAGTAAATGGATTGGACACTAATTAAAAAGGCTACACCCGGGTGTTGCTCCCCCCTAGTTAAAAATAATGACTTGTTGGATCAAATGCATAGGAGTGGTAAAGGCGGCTGTAAACCGTTGGGAAGTGCAACTAGTGAACAAATGCCACTCACTCGGTCAATAGGCCAAGGGATTTCGATTCAAGCTAGCCATGCTAGGTAATGAGAAAACACAAGGGAGAAGAAGGAAAACCAATCTTGGAGATGCTAGCTTTGCTCCTTGTGGTGTAGAGATCCTCCTTTGGGGAAGAAATTCCCAAAACTTTGCTTGGAGTTAAACCCTAACCTCTTCTCTTCTTTGTTCGTCAATTTGTCTCTCTACAAAGCTGAAGAAGAAGAAGTTTCTCACACTAGGTCTCTCCCCCTTTTCCTTCAGCTCAACCCTCCTTTTATACCTAGGTCGAGGGCAGTTCACGGTCCTAGTTCACGCCCATGAACATCCTTTATGGACCGTGATGTCGAGCAAATCCGCACCATTTCACTTAGTCTATTCACAGTTTGTGGCTTTGGTTCACGGTTTTAGCAGCGACCGTGAACTTACTAGAATCCAGTGAGGTGTGCATTCCGCTTCTGGACTTTTGGCGCTTCACGATCTTGGGCTTTGGTTCCCGGTCTTAGCGACCATGAACTGGTTAGACTCCAGTGAGATGTGCATTTAGCTTCTGGAACTTCAGCGCTTCACGGCATGAGCGCCCTTTTCACGGTCCGTAAGATCGTGACAACTCAGCTTCTGCCGTGATCCTCAGCTGCTTCCACTCTTTGACTCGTCTTCGCTCCTTTTTGTCCCACTTTCAATTCCGGGGTCAGTTTCACTTGCTAGGATTTGAAACATACTAAAACAAAGTTCAATCTAGCGTAAAACCACACCCCACGGAGTACAAATGCATCAAACATCTAAGGAAAACCACACCTCCATGTAAATGTAATAGTTTGGTTTGGAGGTAAGTTCTCCGTCTCTAGTTGTTGTAAGATTTGTATTTTTTTTGAAGGTAAATGTATTAGTTTTATTGATAAGAAAAGCTAATTACAAGAAGGCAAAGAAAACATAAATAGAATGAAGCGTTGTGTCCCTCTC